AGTAGATCAACAAATAAGACCTGATTACATGTTATTTACAAGAGACCCACTATAAGTATAAAAATACATTCAAAATAAAAAGTAATGAAACAATTGTATGCTAACATTAATTAAAAGAAAGCAGGACTAACTAAATTAATTTCACACGGAGAAGAGTTTAAAGCAAGGAAAATTACCATAGATTTTCTTAAAAAGTGTGTTACATAATGTACTCCCAAAAGAATATTTAATAATCCTTTATGTATTCATACCTATCAGAAAATCAAACTACATGAAGATAAAGATGCTAGAAATACAAGGCGGAAACAGATGAATCCACTATCATAGTTGAAAATTTTAACATTCCTTTATCAGAAATAGATCCATCAGGCAGAAAGAACATAGTTGATCTCAACTTAGTTTAACCAAATGGATATAATCAATGTCTATAGATCACTTCATCAACAACCACAGAATACACATTCTTCTTCAGCACAAGGAACATTCATTCTAGACCACATTCTGGGCCACAAAACATACCTTAAATTAAAAAAAGTAGAAATTATCTAATGTCAATTCTCAATTAAACAGGAAATTGATAACATAAAGACAACTGGAAAATTGTAAAATATGTGAGGATTAAACAACACACTACTAAATAACATATACATCAGAGAAGAATTTTCAAGAGAAAATTTAAAGCATTTTGAACTAAATAAAACAATTTATCAAAACTTTCGGGATATAATGAAAACAATACTTAGAATATATAGCATTGGATGCACACATTAGAAAAGAAAAAAATCTGAAGTCAATATTTAAGATCCTACCTTAGGAAACGTGGAAAAGAAGAATAAGCTAAATCCAAAATAAACAGATGAAAATAATAAAAATTAAAAGAAAAGTCAATGAAATTGAAAATCAGGCATCAACAAAACCAAAAACCTATTCTTCAGAAATATCAATAAAATTTATAAGTTTCTAGCCAGGTTCACTAAGAAGATAAAAAGAGAGAGAAAGAAGACAATTTACTAATATCAGAAATAAAGGAAAGAAATGACTACAGACCCCAGGGACGTTAAAAGGATAATAAAGGAATACAAAGAACAACAATGTGTCCACAACTTAATAACCTAGATAAAATTGACCGATTTCTTTTTTAAAAATTTTTTTTGGTAGTTGTAAATGGACAGAATGCCTTTATTTTATTTGTTTATTTTTATGTGGTGCTGAGGATGGAACCCAGTGCCTTACACGGCTAGGCAAGCGCTATGCTGCTGAGCTTTAGCCCCAGCCCAACCAATTTCTCAAAAGACACAATCTACTCAAATTTATATAAGAAGAAATAGACAATCTGTATTGGCCTATATGTATTTTATAAATTGAATCAATAATTAATAAAACTCCAAGAAAGAAACAACTGGGTGTGGGTGTTTTCACTGCTGATACCATTCAAATATTTAAGGAAGAAACTATAACAGTTCTAGAAGATAGAAACAATGGGAACATTTCCTCTGTCATTCCATAAAACTAGTGCTGTCCTCATACTACAACAGTGAATGACATTGCACAAAAAGGAAGACCAATATTGTCCCTGAAAACAGATGCCAAAATACTCAACAAATTCAGCAAATTGAATACAGCAATGTGTAAAAATAATTAAGCACCATGACCGAATCAGATTTATCCCAGTTATGCAAGGCTGGTTTAATGAATCAACAGGCTAAAAAAGAAAAAAAAATGTGATATTTATAAAAAACATATCTGATGAAGAACTCTTCCAACATATACAAAGATACTCTTGAAATTTAAATAAGAAAACAACCTGATTAAGAAACAGACCAAAGAACTCCACAGTTACTTCTTCAAAGAAGGTATGTAGGTGACAAATAAATATGTTATATGCATATTCAGACATGACACAATGAAACCCACAATTCTGTACAATTAATTTGCACTAATAAAAAATTTCCCCACAGACCACATGGACCAAATGTCTGCAGAAAATTCCATCCAACAGTTTCAGAACAACCATTTTCCTCATCAGCACAGGGAACGCTCTCTTGTACGGATAACATACAGGACATGGAATAAGCCTCAACAATTTTTTTAATTAAAATTATATTGAGTATTTTTCCTGACCACAGGGCAATAAAAATGTAAATAAAAAAAGAAGAAAACCTTAGGAAATTATGTAAACAAACATAATTTGCTCCACTTCTAGTGTCACTATAAAATACAAATTAAAATGACAATCAGATAACAATATAGAACTATCAGAGTAGTCAAAATGTAGAACACTGAAAAAACAAAATGTTAGTGAGGATGTGAAGCAACAGGAATTCTTATCCGTTGATGGGAATGAATGGTACACACTTTGGAAGAGAGATGGTTGGTTTCTTATAAAACTAAACATATTCTTACCATATATTCCAGGAATTACACTCCTTGGTTTTTACACAACAGAAGTGGAAACTTATTTTCACACAAAAACCTATACATGCATATTTATAGCAGTTTTATTCATAATTGCCAAAATATAAAAGTAATCAAGAAATTCTTTAGTATGTGTACATATAAACTGTAGAATACCCAAGTGATAGAATGCTATGGACTGCTTAAAAAAAAAAAAAAGAGCTATCAAACCATGAAAAAACATGAAGGAAACTTAAAAGCATGTCAATAAGTGAAAAAAGCCAATCTGATAAGGCTGATTTCAATTATATGCCTTTCTATAAAAGGCAAAACTGTGGAGACTGTTAAAGGGTTAGTGGTTGCCAAGTGTTGGGTAAGTGGCTGACTAAGCAGAGAACAGAGTATTTTAAGGGCAGTGAAATTACTCTGTATGGCACTATCATAATGAATACATGTCACTATTCAGCTGTCTCCACTCACAGAAGGCACAACACCAACAGTGAAGTTTGATAGAAATTGCAGACTTTAGCTGGAATAAGTGAGCTAGATAGAAAACTGGAGCTATAGCTCATACTTACCTTCAGGGTTGTTTATTCTGGGAGGATATGGCACAAAGGGAGAAATTTTACCTGTGACCTCTTATTTATGTTTTTGGGTGATAAATACATTGCTTTTGTGCCATTAAAGAATTTTCGTTCGAATATGGAGGCACAAAAATATTGAGTAGAAATGACAAATAGTGAAGGTGAAGTATATACTGACACATTCTCTATAACCTAATTGGTCCAATACAAAAATTGAAGAAAAGGGGTCACAAATGATAATCAAAATATGTTGTTGTTACTTAAATATGTTCATTATCCATTCATACTTTTATACATTTATACCTGCTAAGTCTATGTGAAAATCAATAACGTGTATTTGTGTGTGTGCATATACACAAGCAAGTATAGGAATCCCGTGGTGGCTAGATACTGAATAATTTGATCTGAAGGTGAATTTTTAGAGGTGTGAAATATGGAAGATAATTAAATAATTCATTTATGAAACCTTGCTTGCCATAATATTTGAGGGTATTAATATTATAAAAATCCACAGTTACTTTAGCAGTACAGAATAGAGCTGAGAACTTGGAGTCTGGAATCCAACTGCCCCAGATTAGACCCCTCTCCACCCCTTACCAATTTTGAGGCTAGGGGAAGTTAATCGCCCTGTGTATACCTAGATTTTTGTTTTTTTTTTTTAATCTGTAAAAGGGCAATGATAAAATCTGACTGATAATTGTTATAAGGAATAAATCCATTAACAGAAATGAAACACTAGATTAGTGTCTGGCAGATGGTAAGCGTTCAATAAATGTCAGCCTCTATCATTTTGTGTCTTCTTTATCGGGCTGCAGGTAATATACTTGACACACACTGCAAACTGCCACCTCCCAGCCTCTTCTCTAAACATGCTGTAAGAAATCACTCTGAAAATCATATTGCAACCAATTTGCTGTCACTTTGCTAGATACATACAAGTGAAATCATTGTAACACAGTATATTACCCCTAGAATGTACTTCAACTGCATTAACCTTTTCCTCATGACTATCATTCTGCTTAAACTTTATTCAAACATTTCATCAGAGCAGACTTTAGCAGATATCTCTGAAAACAAACGGATTTCATGTTCTCTGGACAAAGATAAAAAGGACTTGATATAACACTACTGCAATTGAATATAATCTGGTCATTATTCAGCTGGATAAATTACAATTTCAACTAAGTAAACAAAAATTTTAATATTGTTGAAAAGTGGCTGTGACTGATTTCCTGACTTCTTTAAGATTTCCCTTTATGAGGTTTACAGGCTTTGTCTTGGTTTAAAAGGTTTTCAATTTACAAAGTAGGTGACTTCAGGCAAATTTCTCAACTTAGTGCTAAGTTTGGTTTCCTCTGTTGCACTGTGACCAAGGAGGAGTTTCTCCTATTTATGAAAGTGTCAATATAATTTAATGGCCCACAATTTTGTGACAAATGCAAAAGGTGGAATTATCATTATATCTGCTAACCTGCAAATGGAAAAATCAAATGGTTTTCCTAAGTCATCAACTAGGTCTCTGGGCCAGGTTTTTGATTCCTATAGATTTCTTTTCCATCAGACTATACTACTTAAAGTTATCAGAATAACAAATGCTGTTCTCTAAGAAAGAAATATTTAAATAGATCAATATGGCAAAGTGATTCACAAGAAATTAATCTTCTAGGTTTAAGATTATCTCTAAAAATATTTTTCATGTTAAGCATTACACAACATCTTTTATTTTAATCACATTTATGAGTATCTTTTGGTCCATCAAGAACCAGAGAAGACTACTGAAGTATTTCTATTTTTTCAATAATAATGAATACTTACAAATTAAAATATCACCAAAGAAAGACTTTAACCAGATTTAAAGACATTTAAATTGAGATATGTGTCATTTTGTTAATTTTGATGTATACTTCAATTGAAAAATACTAATATGACATATAGTGTTCTTTCAAATAACTGGTTGTCTTTTCTATAAATAATAACTCCCCATTCACTTATTTTAGTTTGGAAACATGGCATTCATTCCACCTTGAATCCATCGCAGCGTCTCTTTTTTCTTTTCCCTGAAGATTTTTCCTCTGCTGTATTATTCAAATGCTGATTTTGGTCCATGATTAAACCACAGATATTATGTGAATGTTTTCAAATGTCGTTGATGCTTTTTAAAAATGATCACCTATCTGGGGAGAAAAAAAAAACAATTTATTTCATCCAAACAATATGCAATTTAGAAGTAAGAAAAGCTGTAACATCAGCATCAACCAATCAGTCAATCAATGATATTTATTCTGAGACTGTTATGTCCAGCCACTCAGCTAAGAGTGTACTGGATACAAACACAGGAAAGAAAAACACAATATTCCAGCCTTGGGAAGATTGTGATTAAGTTAGGGAGATATATTTGGGGGAAGAAACTCAAAAAAATTAAATTGGATAATATAGAATCAAATCCTAGATTATATGAACAAAACTATTAATTTTTGCTAGTATTGGGGATTAAACCCAGCACTTCATGCATGCTCGGCAGGCACTCTACCACTGAGCTATATCCCCAAAACTTCTTAAATTACAGAAATTAAGACTTGAATGTTTTCTACATACATAGATTATAAAATTAACGAAAGCAAACATATGTTTAACTTATAGTTTTGCACAGTGACAAATTGTGCCTTGCATATAATAGGTATTGAAAATGAGGAGAAAGAATCATGTTAATGAATTATAACTAGAATGGCCTAATGTAGAGGAAGTAACTCTGGAACCAGATTCAGAAAGCAGGTAGAATTTGGACTTGTTTAAAAGCACCAAAGTGTACTCCAAGTACCTCTCGGAGACAATGGCCATATTCAATGTACCACTATCATCATCTTACTTTAATTTGTTCTTCTATTTTTCAAGAAAACGTATGCATGCAGTTGAAAATGTGAAATATTAAAAATACAAAGACACTTCTTCTCACTCTTGCCTCTTATGCAGAAACATGAAATGCATTTTAATTAAATACAAATGGTATCATATTGTCAATACTGTCCTCTACCTTTTTACTCTGCTGTACATACTTTATTTTAAAGGGGACTAATTTTTCTTATAGCTACAGCATTGCATTATCCATAATATATTTAACTCATGTCAACAAGCAATTACATCTAATTATTTCATATTAGAAAATTATTTTAATATATCATTTTGTTTTATTTATGTATGATCATATCTGTAGGATTAAACTCCTGTGAGTAGAGTTTGGGGGTCAAAGTCTAAGAGAACTTTTAACTTTGAAAGTTATTAAGCCCCTATTTTAAAGAGTAGTAAAATGAATTAAATTCTGCCTTCAATTCACTCTTTTATGTAGAATAATTTGGTTTTCACTAAGGTTTACAAGATGTAACCTTATTCATACACATTTATGCATCTGAAATATCTATATTGGCAAACACATAAAAGTACAAATATTAAATGATCTTCATAATATACTAATTACACAATGTTTAATAATTGTTATAATTACAGCTGATTTTATTTGTGGTAGTTATGTTCTTAAAGTTCCTGAGAAAACTGAATTGGCAAATACTGAAACACTGTTTCTAGAGGAAATACAGAGTTAGATTTCTGTGCACCTTTGAACACATTTTCATCCACTGATCAATACATACCCTTCTTTGTGTTTATTTCCCTTTGAAGTCACTTTATTTAATGTGTACTCTTGCTTCATTAACATTGAGTTAGTAACCACTAGTAATAGTTCAAGCCTGAAGGAAGATTATTAACATGTGTTTTTTTCTGTCAGGTACTCTTGCACATAGGAATACTAGATAGCATTTTGGCACATTTTAAATAATAAAATGAACAATATAAAGTACAAAATCTCAAAACATGAGTAATAAATAAACTGTGAAAAAGACATTTGTGTACCCTATATGTGCTGAAGCAAAAGGCAAAGCATCATTTTAGACAAACAAGCTGAGAAAATAGGAACTCAGACTTTTCACCACTCTGCATGTATGTCAGTGCTCATGAAAGCCCAGCAGAATTAATTTTGGGGTTCCAAATAAATAGTAGTGAATACAGAAATTTGCTAATTCAGAATTTATGAATAATGAGAATCAACTGTAGATACTACTCATTAATTCAACAACGATTTATTGATTATCCAAAATATATAAAGCACACATAATAATACATATTGAATGAGAAATAAATAAATAAATAAATAATATAATTAACATAACATCCAAGATGTTATGAATTATGTATGTGTGAGTATAATATAAGCACATGCATTATAACAGAAACCCATACCTATGTGTATCTAAGTGAACTCCACTTATTCTACTTTTCACATGTGTTCCATGTGTGTTGTACCTGGGTATGTTCAGTTTCTGGGTGGAGTGGCCTGAGCACTAAAATCAATAGATTGGTGGTCTCAAGATCATGGGCAGCTCTTTGATAAATTTTATGCCTTTTTTTCCATAAATATCTCTATTTTTGTCCCTAAAATTTAAATATTAGCAAAGCATTTTTTATCACTTCATTCTACATTTGAAAATCTTTCTGAATTAAAGGTAGAATACAACTCTTCACTTTTAAGCTCTTTTTTTCCCACCAAGGAGTTATTCCTAAAGGCTGGAAGGCTATTGTCCTCCACTCCTACCTGTTTAAGTTTCAATTAACTTCTTCTTGTCCAGTCTGCTGGCCTCCAGTTCATCCTACACATCTCAGGCCTATTCTCAGATTCTTTCAGAGAGGCCTCATACCATACAAAGTAAAAATCATACTTCCTGTCTGAGGCTCTTCACAACCTAAACCCAGCCCTTGTTTTGGTCTCATTTCCCAGTACATCCATAAGCACCATGACACATAGAACCACTGTCCCAAGAAGAAATCTCTCAGTCCTACTGCATGTTTCTAACCAAACTGGAATGTGCTTCCTCACTGCTTGGTTGTAATTCTACCCCAGATCAGACCTCTTCCATATTACACCCACTTGAAGGAATCTCCCACACTGTTGCTCCAGGGGAAAATATACAGACATTATTTTTCTCTGTATTTCCCCTTCTTTCCCAGACAGTAAGTAACTGGTGCACTCTTCTCTCCTGGATCTTGAGATGAAACAGCAAAAAGTTTGATAAGGTAGGAACATTGCTCCTCATTTCTTGCAAAGGTGAAATTGCAACATGGAACTTCACAGGCTTGACTAAATTCCACACATTCTACTGTTAAGCCTGATTTAGAGGTAATTGATTATGTTTTTTTCTTAGCGTATTTTTCTCTGAGTTGAAATTGACTAACATATAAATGAATACTTGAGATGCAGTATGCTCATAAGATAGGGCAACAGGCATCTGACATAGCAAGGCATCTCTTTCCTGAAGACAACAGCCAGTTCTTTCTCACTTGATTGAGGTGGCACAGGGGAGGGAGGGCACAACCGTATGGGCCTCTGCTTACCTGTGGCCAGCTTTGACTATTTCAGGGGTCATGGCAAAGGAGTACAGGCCAATTTCCTGTTTCCTAGAATGTGCCTATGGCAGTAAGGAGGAAAAGGGAAATGCAGTACTTCCTAACTTCTTAGACCTTCCATGGGACCTGTGGATCCCCACCTTCCATTGACCATACCAACAATTATCTTTAAGATAAGATAAAATCACAAATAGGGAGTCCACTCCAAGGATTCTATGCAGTTGATGAAAACAAATATCTTATATCACATTTTTAAAAGGCAATTAGAAGCCTCATATTTCAGACTTGAAAATCCCTTAGTCTAAAAAGTAATGGGACTAGAACTTCAAACTTTATTTTAAAATTATACAATTTAAGACTCCATTAACCTGAGGCACATCTCTCTCCAGAAACGATAGTTAATTGGTTTTGAGGGCTTAGAACAAAAGTGTATAAAAGACAAAGAACATAAAATTTGTAGTACGTATCATGACCACTAAATCTTTTTTATTTTTTTACAATTTATAGAAATTTTTTATATAGAAGAAATGCTGAAATTCAAAAAGTCAAAGGTTCCTACCTGAATGTAGAATCCTACAGCAAATGGAACAAGTGATCCTCAATCTACTGTTCACGTCCCTCTTTAAATACTTTTTTTTCTTTTTATGTCAGTTCAGTGATGATTAACCATCATGTTAGGTCATTGTGCTAAACAAACAGAAGAAAATTACAACTATTTCTAGGTGTTCACTCCAGACTTATATTTTAAAGGCCACATTAATACAATCTGAGAATTTATACATTTTGTTAATGTTATTTTATAAATCTTTATTTCTGGGAATGACTTATAACTGTTTTTTCAATGAACTTGGTTACATAAGACCTTTTCTTTAGAGATAAATTCATCATATTATTTAAGGTACTTAAAATTTTTCCACACAGAAAACAATTCAAGGCAATGTTTAAAATGTATCTACAGGTTAAATTAGCATTCAAAAATATAAAATATACTCTTTAAGCTTATACATGGAGAGGGTTATAATATGTAGGGACCCTGAATGTCCCACATGGAATAGTAAGGCACCCATTAATTACCAGATGGTTCTCCTAAGTGACATGATCAATACTGTTTTGCAGGAAATATTCCTCACTTCAAAGCCTGAAGAAAGAATGGCATAATGAATGCTTTCTTTCTTTCAAATATTAAATTGGTTTTTGAAAGGGAAAGGCTTGACTAAAATGAGACTCTTTTTCTTTTAATGGAGATGAAACTTAAATAATTAATTTAATAGCTCAAACACTTCTTGATTCCCTAGTAGCTCAGGCATGGGGCTCTGTTTTGGAAATGTACTAATATAAATAAGGTACAGACCCTTCTTTCGCGTATGTATGTGTAGATGGGGGTAAAAATAGATCATTATACAGATATATAGATGCATACATAAACATTAACTTTTCACTCTGGCAGGAAAACTGTTGGTACAGTGTACTTAATTTCTTTGTTTCAGTTATTTGATAGCTCAATTTTTTAGTCTTAGATATATATAAATCATAAAAATATTCAAATGGGCATGGTGGTATACACCTGTAGTCCCAACAGCTCAGGAGGTTGAGGGTAGGAGAATTGGGAGTTCAAATCCAGCCTCAGCAACTTAGCGAGACCTTAAGCAATTTAGGGAGAACCTGTCTCTAAACTAAAAAAGGCTAGGGATATGGCTCAGTGGTACAAAGTTCAATCCCTGGTACCAAAAAATAAAAATAAAAAAATAAATCATAGAAAGATTCAAACAGTATGGAGAAAAAGGATTTGGGAATGTGAAGGACTGAGAAGTGTACATTTGGGGTTAGGAAAATTGGGGCACAGGCTCCAAAATACTCCACTGCTGAGTCCAGATCTCCTGGAGAGTCTATCAAAATAACACTCAAGCCCCATACTCTGGAATTCAGATTTGGTAGACAAGAACAGTGTTTTGTAAAATAAGCACTTCAGTTAATTTTTATACACTGCCAGATTCTCAGAACCATCATAGCAGAGACCCCAAACATTTTCTGTCATTTTTAAGGACTTCCTTTCATTCAGACTGTGCATACAGTTGGGGTGCTCTCAGGACGCTTCGTCTTCTCAAACATCCATCCATCCAAAGGTACAGCAACTTGTTTTGGACAAACACAAGCACAGCATGGAGATTAACAGTACAAATAAACTGAGAACCTCAGGTTGTCAGTGATGAAATTCCAGAATGTTTTCAGAGGCCAAAGAGCATTTGCCTAGTGCTTCTCTCATTCTACCTCTTTAAGTAATTAGACTGCGCTCCCCCTGTGACTTCTGATAAAGTAAAAGTGGCCAGAGAAAAGACATTGCAATGGTTACAGCCATGGATCAATAGAGTTGCAAAATTTGCTTAAAGGTCTCTTAATATTTATTTCAGAGATAATCATCACAGTTCGAAGAAATATCATGGTCTTTGAAGTCTGACAAACTCATGCCAATTTGACTCTGCTGCTTGCTAGCAGTATAATATTGATGAATTTTATCCTTTCTGAATATCAGCATCCATATTTACAAAGTGACAAGTCATATGGGATAAAGACTTGATGAATGCCAAGTGTCTATTTATAGAGTCCCTGGCACATTGTAGACTCAACACCTAATTAGAGTCATTATATTCAATGTATAACTTTAGCATTATAAATGATAATGCAGTTAATTTACACTCAATAAAAATAAAATATCTGATACCAGTGCTCAGCTGGTATTTTCCAGTGGTTTTCAGTCTAGAATTTTCTGCTGAGCTCTTCTGGTGTGTCTTAAGAGGGAGGCAACTGGCTCAGCTCAATCTTCCACTTCCTGCCCACTACTGCTCCCTTGGTGGTGGTCAGAGGAGCTCCAGAGAGCTGGAAACTCCTGGAGGTGAGCCCAATGTCTCTCCCCAGTGATGCTCCACTCTCTTGCATCATCATGGTCTAGTTTATTATGGGAATTCTTTCTCTCATGTCAGTTGCCACCATAAAGTAGGGGCTGCCTGATCAGTCATCGTCTCCTGTCTAATCCCCATCTAGCTCTGCCTGGTCCTGTTTTTGTCCCTTGTCTCCATCATAACTAACTATAGTAAAATGAGCGGCTTCTCAGAATTTTTCTGCTTTACCTTCTTGCTCTTACTTAAACTTGGCCCTTCCCTGAAGACATTGCCTCTCCTCAAGTTGTAATAAATGGGAGCTGCCTTACCCTTAACCCCATGTTGCTCCAAATCAGATGCACGTCTTTCTAATTTTCTTGACTTAGCTACTTCCTTTTCATTTTCTCATAATGTTCCTTTAATCTCATGTCAAAAGACTACATTATTTATCCCTCTTTGGTTGAATCATCTACCAACCCTGGAGTAAATTCCACTTATTTCCTAACAATTTTATCTTATTTTTTATTTATTTATTTTTGGTACCAGGGATTGAACCCAGGGGCATTGAACCACTGAGCTACATCCTCAGCCCTTTTGATTTTTTTTTTTTTTTTATTTGGAGACAGGGTCTTGCTAAGTTGCCTAGGGCCTGGCTAAATTGCTGAGGCTCCTCTTGAAATTGCAATCCTCCTGCTTCAGCCTCCCAAGCTGCTGAGATGATAGGCATGTGCCACCATGCCTGGCTCATTTACTAACAATTTTAAGTCTTGGTTCAAAGACAATCTCTCCAAATAGTACTCCTATCATCATTTTTCATGATTTCAAGGATCTCAAAGAGAATTCTTCCAGTACACAGCCTTCTTGGTTTTGTTTTCCCTCCCTTCCTTTCTTTCTTTCTTCCACCTCTGTTCTCCAATGTTCTTGGCTTCTACTCATTCCAATGAAATATCCTGGACTTTGTCACACCAACAACTGCAAGCTGTCCATAATATCAGTTCCAGAACTGGATCACCAGTACCCTGGATCCAATAATGCTTTCCTGACTGGTATTTATAATCCACACAATGATTTTGCCAGGTATTTCACCATTCCTTACCTCTCTCACGTCGTTTCTCTCTGTAGTACATTAAATTTCATGGTTGTGCTAATTACTATCTCTTATGTATCTTCAACTCACTCTCATTCTCTTGCATCATTTTAATTTTTTTATTAAACCATAACTCTGATTATATCCAACTATTAGGATATAATAATTTCATCTTTTTTTATAATTTATAAATAAACCAACTCTGCCCATTTTCCCATGGAGCTGAATGTAGCTGAAGAAAAATCCTCAACTATGCAGACTTTAAATTTACACCATGAAGCTCAAATGTGTCTTTTGTTTTGCCTTAGAATCATTCTATACTTTTGTAATCTACATCATA